ATAATAACGCATCGATCCTAAAACAAAATTATTAGAAAGAAGATGATAAATGTTTTTTTTTTCTTAATTAGTGTATTAATTAATGATAAAAAGTTCTTTAATAAAATCACCTGTAGATTCTTCTGTAATTATGTAATAATAAACAATCGAAAATGTTTAAATTTCTTTATTCTATTGTTTACTTTCAAATCTACCTAACGTTTTTATAAATGCAAATTAAGTAAATTTAATTAATAACAGCATCTAAAATGCAAATCTTTGAACTATACGAGGTACAATACATGTACTGTACTGTACACAGAGAAAGATAAACTTAGAAATTGTGTGTTTATTCCCAGATATGAAGTTGTATACTCTAACAGTGGTTAAAACACTGGTCGTGGGTTGGTGGTTCGGCCACGGGTATGCCACGTTGGAATTATCCGGGCTTCACGTGTGTAACACAAATATAGAAATTATTATCCCTAAGGGGGCATCCCCACATGACAGATAGCCCACTTGTTTCGTTACCTTATTCCATCAGTAACGTATCGTTTAATAGATAAATTAATTAGTGCGTTAATAAAATTAATTAACATTTAACACAATTTATTACGGAAGATTTATGTTTTGAGTAACAAAATGATTAAAAAATTGCATAATAAAATTTGTTTCCTTTAGAGAGAGGAGAGAGAGAGAGAAATTAAATTACAAATCTATATAAACAATTGCAAATGACGTTTGGAAGAAAAGACAATATTATGTTTACCAAAATTTTAAAATAATGACAACAGATTGTTGAATTTGAAGACTAGAAATAGATAAAATCTCTTTATCTATTTTCGAACAATTACATTATTTAGAAAATTATTTGCTTCTTATCGAACGATTCGTCCTTACCTTCCAAATATCGACTTTTGATTTGAAACGAAAACTTTAGATTCAAATAAAATCAGCTTTTACTCCATCTTATTTACGTTTGATATAAAGAAAATTATGTCGTTAAAATATTCTGTAGAATAATAATGCATCGTCGACATCTTTGAAATAAATTATATCGTATCTCGATTAAATTTTCAGAAGATACTTTTTCGTCAAGAGAAATTAATCTGGTCACTTTTACAAGTTATTGCTTTTAATACGAAGTCGAAAATTCTTTTGTCCCACAAATAGTTTAATGTAAAAACGGAATGGCATTATTATAAACAATAAATATGGCTGTAGAATGTGATGAAAGTGATTCACGCTTACAGAGTTATCTAGATTCGACTCCCAGTAAAAATACTGTTTTTCTTCCCAATGTTTTCTTAATACTTAAACTGTAAAAGAGCTCATTAGATGGAAATTACGCAAGAAATAATATCGCGAAATAAAGTAAAACACAAATACATCGATAATAATATCGATAACGAAAATCTCGAAAAGTTTGCTATTGCTAAGTACGCATTGATACGATGATAGAAATCTTTGATAAATTATTTGAGTGAAATAATATACTGACCTGTCTATTATTTCGTACCTAAGAGGTTCCTTACCTGAATTATACACATCGAAACGTGTTTTAGAAACCGCTTACGTATGCGAATGCTAAAAATGCGATAAGAGGACAGTGACGCGACGAAAACCAGGGTGATTGTCACCACTTTCAGACAGTGCAAGAGGTTTATTTCGTTCTCTCAAGTGGGCGAATATCGCTTTTCTGAAATAACCGAATATCCCGAATATTTTGTGAACTTATTATAAGAAATGAAACTTCAAACTTTTAATTTTTACTTCGATTTTAAGTAGCTTTTTTTTTAAGGTAGTCTTATCTCGACTACAATAAATTAATAAATATTTAATTGTTCTCATTCTTACTTATTGCAGGTTTTTATTTAAGAAAACGTTTAGGATCTAATCTGCTTTCTTTCTTGTCATCAATTAAACCAGAGGTACTGTAGTGTCTCTGTATTCAGTGGCATATACAAGGGGATATCATTGACACATACAAAAAAAAATTAAAATTAATTGTTTTAACTCCAAAGCGTATAATTACGATGGCAAATATGTTTATCGAATCATCCCCAATGCAGTCTTAGTGTACGTGTTAATAAAACTTACTTAATCATTCAAATATTTTTACTTTCCCGACTGCTGTATATAACAGAGGAAAAGTATGGCGATCGATTAAAAAATGAACCCCCCCCGAGACTTTTACATTTTTTGGCTCAAGACACCTTGAACGTGAAGAAATGCAAAAACTTCGGGAGTAATTTCTGTATGTATAGATGTTAGTGTGTGCGTGTGGGGGCCCGATTTTGTTCACCCTGTTTGAAGATTAATAACTCCTGTATATTTTGTCGAAAATTTCTGAAATTTTGTAGGGAGGATTATTTATTAGGAGGATCGATGCTATTTAATTTTGGTGGGAAAAGGTCAAGGGGGTGGGAAGATAAAGAGAGTCGTATGTATCTCCAGTAAGGTCACAATTAATGACGATTTGTTATTCGCATTTACAATTCTCTTTACAACGCTTATTCCTACCCACAAAATTAAGCCTTTTGCCATTTTATAATAGTTAAAAATATTCGAGGTTTCGATGAACGAACACTTTCTTGTAATGGAGGAAATATTCTTTTCTCTGTATCAAATATTACTAGATATTATTGTGGTTCTTAGTTACAATTATAGTTAACGAGCATTAGTTGCAGTCAAAAGTGAAAATACCTTCTAAATGTAAAATTTTGCCTATTACAGTATTTCGATTTACCCTTGAAGGAAGATTTTACTTTTCGCGTAATTTTTCTGGCTGTTTCCACGAAAAAGCTATCTTAATTTAAAATCCTTTATAATTATTTCTTTTCTCTAACGTAGTTTCATTCGTACTCGCGAAATATCAGGAATTTGGCTACTTGATAAATTAAATGTAGTTATAATTAAGCTCGTTAACTCCAGAAGAGTTGATTCCGGGAATTTTCCATTACAGGTATAAAAAGTTTTCGGAGATTCGACGGTTTTTACTGTCACCTGTTCTTTAGTCGGTTTTAATATATAACCCTCAAAGTTGATCGTCTTGTCCAGTAATTATAAGAAGAATATTTTCAGAAATTATTCGAATACATTGACAAAACTCTACTTTAAAAAAATGCCAATTCTTCATAACATTTTCTAAAATGGCTCTTTTTATACTCGAGAGTCCTTGTTATATGTATCTTATTATTATCTCGACATTTTCTGTGATTCTTCAATAAAAAATATATCTGATAACAAAAATTGTAGTCTTATTATGATACATATGGTGTAATATTGCCGTTTCGTTACATCAAGGTCACGTTGCGTGTTCATACTGCACATTAAGTTTTCAGTAAGCCAATTAAGTAACACAATTTTTATAATCTCTTTCTTTAAAATTGCGTAAAGTGGGATATTTTCCTATTTCAATTATTAAGTTTTCGTCTTTCAGCGTGCTTTCCTCTATTGTTTTCCTCCTGTTGTCCCAGTCTGCGAGAAAAATGATGAGACAATTCCTTCCCTCAAATTTGACTCGGGATCGATTCCAGCGTAACGTCGTTATTGCTCCCGAAATGGCTTCTGGACACATAATAACATCACGTTACATCACTTACGTTACGTTACCTGTACTGTACCTATCTGAACGCAACTTTATAGTGACTGAAACTTATGAGAATCTATTGTAATTAGATCTTTTAAGTAAAAGTTTGGGAAAACTGTAAAAAAAAGAATCGTATAGCGAATTCTTGATACTTAAGTAGTACAGGAAGACTGCTTGCTGCACATATAGCGATTAACAACAAAGTAATTTAGTACAATAAATAGTATTTGAGCATACCAGGTACCATAAAACTTGTATTTTTGAAGACCGGGTGGCAGATAAAGGCGTCAACTCGCTACTCTGAAGGACTTGGAATCGAATCCGGAAGAGCAATTCCAGAAATTTTCACGGGTGGTTTGGCCTGACATGTTCTGGCCAAACCACCCTTCGCTCGCCACTCGGCCATCCCATTGTGGGCCTAGCCAAACTCACAATAAGCTTTAAAAAAAGACCGTCTTATTGCCCACAATGCAAAAAAATGAAAAATAAAAAAGATTTAAGTGAAAAGCAATAACAAAAATAAAAACAAGACTAATGATTACAAACAATAGATGATGTCTAATATTAAATTAAAAGCATTTAAATTCTCTATCTTTATTTAATAACTAACTAATCTTATCATTGCGTAAGTCAGTCCAAAAACACAGTTTACATTTTACATATAGCATGTCTATCATAACGTGATCGTGACATGGCAATATCGAAACAATCGGTAGACCTCTTATACATTTCGAATATGTCAGATCTTTCGACACTTTGCTTTTTCTTTAACGATCTTCCCACGGGAAAAAAATCGATTGTAATTTCTCAGTAATTCGTATAACTCGAGAGCGAACAAATAGGAAAGATCCAACGGCACTCAATTAAAAATTAAAATGACGTTACCAAATTATACCCACTGACGTCATTATTATGTAATTCTTTCCATTGATATTTTTAATTCTTTTCTATTAAGTTTGCTCTCGAAATCTGATCGGAATATTTCCATTTTCTATTATCGTTTATTCTTAATCGGATATATTAACATAAGTGTGTTGGAATGGGTAAATTTTTTCACCGTAAAAGTCCACATACCTCTGGAAAAGAACGCCAGCCAGCAGCTACTTGGAACTGGAGGTATTCTTATTGCATCCACTGTTAAATCCCAATTATAAAACAATAAATCATCGCGTCATTACTTAACTCGCTATCGCCTAACTTAAGCCGTCTTAAACACCCTATCTTAGCTTAACAATCGTTTTGTGTTTACCTTAAGATTACATCATTAGTGTCGTACGCAATAACTCGGGAACGGTTTGAAGAACGAAGATTCCGAATATTCGCTCCTTTCTTAACACAAAAGATAAATAATAGTTGCGCATGCCCCGTCCTAATCTATTAAAGTGATCCTCGGACGATCTTTCCTCACATCGTTTCAGTCAATCGTACGCTTAGGATATTTTTGGCATCGAATGGGCCGGAAGAACGGAGGTGGGCGCTCAACTCTTCTATTGACATTTTGGCTTTTTGCAATGTCTTACAGGTAAGTTATTTTTCTTCCCTGTAAATATCGGAACGAAATACGGTGCACTCTCGCTAAACCGAACTAATTATTATAAGAGAATAATCTATACTATTGGAAAAACAACAAATTTACCATGACTTTTTCAATAGATCTTCACTATTCTATTTTAATTAGCATGTGGTAATGCATAACAAACCGGAGTATTTCTTAGAATTAAATAAATTCAAAATTGTATATAATTTAAGAAGTAATCTTTAATTAAACTTACAAGTTAGGAGGAGAAGAATCATTTGTAACAATACCGAAAGTCTCTGAATTTCGTGTCACTCTCGATACTCCAGAGACCAGAAAATAGACGGGGGATCGCCATACTAAAAATTCGTGATTAAAAATTTTGAGACTAAAGCAATGAGATATGCATTGTCTTTTAAGAATGCCAGTTGTTTTGTAATCGCAATAATAATAATCCGCGACACGGCATAATTCGGTACTCCGAATCTCGGACATTATGGAAGCAAATTAAATTATAAAATTTATTTTATAAATCAAATATTGATATGTTATTATACCGAAAGTATATTTATATCTGGTTTCTTCTACAAAAGACGTTCGAGTGCCGAAGACGATATATCGGAATTAAATTACGAGAAGATCTTTGATAAGATATCCTGCGAAAATGGACGTTATAACTGCAAAACCAGGCCTTTCATAGGAAAAGGTATACGTTTTCCGATAGAAATTGTCGCTTGTTTGCATTCGAATGAGTAAATATTAAATTTCGTTTGTAGACATACCCGTAAAAGTTAACACCAGTATATTTCTGTACAGCATGACGTCCGTCAACGAACTGCACACAGTGAGTATATCTATCGTTTGTAGATTAGAAAGACTGAACGGTGCGATGATAATTTATCTATTTTGTAGGAATATACTATCCAGATGTTGTATCGTCAAAGATGGCAAGATCCTAGATTAGATTTCAGTAACATCTCCGACATTCGACGAATCGTCGGAGATCACTGGCATGCCAAACGGATTTGGATACCATCGGTCCACGTAGTTAACAATAAAGAAATTGGATCTCTTTCTAGGATAACCGAAGGAGCCGTTTTGGTGCATATTTATAGAAATGGTACAGTAGTCATGAGCAATAGGTATGTTTTCGTCGGAACCATTCGCTTTTCTTCAAAATCCCTTTTTATAGATAATTATTTATTTTGATAGGGTTCACATGAGACCTTTATGCAAAATGGAATTTTACAGATATCCGTTAGATAAACAAGTCTGTACTCTAGAAATTGAAAGTAGTAAGTACGTCTTCTGTTTTTATTTTATATGGAAGAAACGATCACTCCTTTAAATAATGTATGTGTAAATTTTAGGTACACTTTCTCCTTATCATCTCACATTGCATTGGGAAGCTGTGGATCCTATTCTCTTAAGCAATCATTTTTATGTGACGGGCTATGATCTAACCAATTATTCTACGACAGCGACTCAAGTCAAATATCGGCATACAGGTATCTTTAGAAATTATTAATTAATGCTATAAAAGCTTTAATATTTAGTTTCTGGAAGTAACTATTATCGAGTTACCAAAAACTTGTTTGTGCCTCTCGAATTTTATTCTGGCATTCGAAATTCAATTATTTAGTTTTCGTTAAAGACAATACACGAAACCAAATTTAAATCTATGTTGCCTCCGTAAAGAAATCGATAATAACTAGACAATTCTCCTCAATATATATATTGTATACACTATAAGATCTTTATATGTGTATACTACTGTCTTTTTTAGGTAATTTTAGTAAGATAATAGTGGAGTTTCAACTGCAAAGGGAGTTCGGACACTTTTTGTTGGATATTTATATCCCAGGAATGTTGTTCGTGGTGACCAGTTGGACTTCTTTTTGGGTGGAGATTCCCGCTGCACCTGCTAGAGTCACTCTGGGCATCACCACCATGTTGACGCTCATCACCAGTGAAAAGTCGGTGAGGGAGAAGTTACCGAAAATGTCTTACGTACACGCGCTAGATATATGGAACGTCGTCTGCACCGGTAAGATTTCGTCTACAACTAAGTGATTTACATAGAAAGGAAGCAACATCCTTAAAATAAACAAAAATATTTTTTCCAGCGTTTATATTTGCCTCTCTGGTAGAATATGCCATGGTTAATTATATCTATCACAAAGATAAACGAAGGAAACAAGGAGGAATGAAAAGAGTGGATAGCTCTGCGACATTCGCATCGATGGACACGGATACAACTTCTGTATTTAGTATCTTTAAGGTGAGTTTGGATTCCGAATTAATGTATAGTATCGCTTTGAGATTGTTAATTTATGCCATTTGTCTTATTAGAATGTGTTCAAGAGCGAACAAAAAGAAAGTTCCCCAGGATTGCCAACCAGTATCTCTCTGCACGACTTCCAATCGTTGACTAATCAACCTTCCCCAGAGATCGGGTGCGGTCCTTGGCCCTTGCCCAAACTCAGACCTCAAGACATAGCCAACGGCATCGACAGAAAATGTAGAATTATTTTTCCAGTTGGTTTCCTCATGTTCAACATTGTCTACTGGACCGTCTTGTGGGTTTGAATGTGAAAAATCTTTTACCTATCGAAATTCACAAATGTATTTGTCAAATCTGCAATTAAATTATTGAGTAGGGTGCATTTATTATTTAGGTGGTATCCATCTAAAAATATAAATATCATAATGTATTATATTTTGTTTTGTAATTATTTTAAAATAAATTATTTAAATAAATTTTAAGTGTTTTTAATGATTTTACTATTTTCCTGGTCTGGATAAACGCTTATCAGTCCCATGTCTATCAAAAATCAAAATAAAAATCTTTATTTTCACCTGGTTTTTTTGTTATTTGTTTTGACTTTTGACTAAGATTTTCTCTCATTGCTAATCAGAAACTTCACCAGTATAATAAGTATTATTAATAAACAAAGTCCAAGTAGACAACATATACACAGAAATGCAAAAAGTAAGGACAAAGAGATAAAAAGAATTAAAATGAACTTTATTGTATTTGCATAGAAAACTTTGTGAAAGTCTGATGAACATAAATGTAGTTTACAGCATAGATAATGATCATACAGATGGAAAAATAACTATATTACCAATGGAAGATGAAAATCGTACGTTGTATTTAAAGCAATCAGTCCTGGGTAAGATGTCGCTATCATCGACAGTCGTCATAAATCGTCATCAAAACCTTGTTACGTAGCTTATTTGCAGCCTCACTGACGTTACTGTTTTGTAATTGTAAAGTTTGTCTCAAGTCTGGCTTGTATTTGTCCATGATTAAAATTTCAAATTAAATTTTAATTTAAACAAGTCCAGATGTAGTCATTATCTCACTTACAAAGAAGGACAGTAGGCTAATATTTATGTTAAATTAGTTTTGCAAATTCTTTTTAAATGACACAATGATCTGTATTGATCAGATCTAATCTTTTTAACTGTTGTAATTACGATAAAAGAAATGCACTGTTTATTGAATGTAGTGAAGTGACGCGTAGTTTAGCGATGACTTTGACTTTTATGAGACGGTTAACTTCTCGAAATATAAACCTTATTTTAAATCATTTTTGCGTACAAATAGAATCCATCTCGGTTTAGGTCATGAAGTAAATAGCAGTTTAAAATTCGATCTGTAACACTCTCCCATATGTAAACAGAACTGTATTGTCTGCTTATCATGATTTAGATCGAGATTAGTCGAAGAGCTGTTTTATAGCGACAGAAAGGTTAAAGCGTTCTTTTGTGCATGATTGTGAACACGCTGTATAAAGGAACAAAGTTTCTACACTTTCAGAAAAAATACCATTGAGTTTAACACAAGACTTAAGATATTTTCTATCAATTTTATCTAATAGAATATTGTTAGGGTGTATAAACTCCAGCTGTAATTAAGATACGTAATGGCTTCTGACGTTAAAGCTTAATGGATTACGTTAAATTAGGTGCATGAAACTTTTAACTTCATCCAATTTCGCTCGATGTCGGCTACCTACGGCTCTTATCTCTATTACTTTCACTCTCGTCAAATTGAAATTTCCATTAATAGTACGAACGTTTACTTTTTCGAATTAACTAATGACCAGTCGATCGATCAGACAAGTAATGTGACTTCTTGTCATTTCAAACTGAAAAAGGCAATACATACTTTTCTTTCTTTCAAAAAATAAACAACAATCCTTGCAATTAAGAGGGCCGATATTCGTTTATTTGTGAGTGAATTTCCAGTTGACATACGTTTAAAACCAGAAATCGGGACATTGAGTTAGCATTGTGATAAAAATTGGTGATACCCAGCATTAAGTAGGTAGTGGATACTCTGAAAAGTAACTGAATATCCCTTTACCCGAATATCTCTAAATATCCGTTTTCTTTGCAACAATGCCTTTCTTCACATAACATTTTTTTTGAACTCTTTCCGTCCTGTGGGCACAAAAAGAGAGCTTCTTTTGGCAAGCCCATTAAAGGTTCGGCCAGGTCCACAACTGGGGCTGCCGGGTGGTGAGGGACGGAGCCCGACATATCCGGACGGACAAACTAGTGGCTAGAATGATCTAGTAGTGGCACGTTGGAAGATTTCATCCGGAACTTAACGTATCGTACGATCTTGGTTTATCGCATATCACTTTCAATAAGCCTGTTTTTTAATATTATTATTTGCCGGTATACAAAAGTTTACGTAATGTGTTTCGGACTCGAGAGAAAGTTGTGACTCAATAGAAATTGAGGCGTTGGAATTTGGCATAGTCTGTGTTTTTTTGTAATAGCGAAAGTTCCTGATTTGGAACAGTAAACCTGCGGCGATCGATAGAAGTTATTTGACCAACATGGGCGCAAGTTATGTTATCTCAACATCGACCTTTTAAGGACATCTCGCACCGGTGTAATCTAGAACAGAAATAAGCAGATGAAAAATGTGAACCTCAAATTAGATGAAAATTTCGGAGTTTGCAGATGTAATGAAATGTCAACGTCACTCGAGTGGTTGAGATATTAATACAACGCGCACTGATTGCGAAGCGAACAGACTCCGTTTGCATTCCATTCAGTGGAAAATGTCAGAGGGGAAGTCTTCGTGGGTGTCTATAGAAGTAGCCCACGCGGCAATGCGTAGATGCGTGCTGACGTCGGAAAAATTCGAGGCAATTATGATACGTACCGTATGTGCTTAATTAAGACAGATGTCTGTAATTCGTAGGCTAAAATAAAATTTTTAATTCGAGATACTTATCGATAATGATGCTTAGATACATTATCATGCCGGGAGTACAATCAGTATATAAGAGCCCGGATAGCTCAGTCGGTAGAGCGTTAGGCTTTTAACCTAACGGTCCAGGGTTCGAGTCCCTGTTCGGGCGGCTGCTTTTTTTTTTCTTTTTACCGATCGTGGTTGTGGATTTTTAGAATCGAAACGCATTTTATCAAGAATGCGCATCTAACTATATACGACGAAGACGTGTTTGAATGAAAACTTGAGAATGAGTATTTTGCAACGACACTGACTTCGATATTGCATGTAAGCAAAGCAAATAGCATATTTATTCGGCAGATTATGTATGTGTGTTGATTTTACTGACGGCGCATCTAAGTTTTATCTCGGTGACTATCGTCACTCTTCCACGATTGTTTTTATTTGTAATTCGGTAACACGACGAATCTTGCTGTGGTTAATTTCTTTGAAATTTGCTCCGAAAATCAGAAAATGTCGACAGCGTTCGACCGATGGTTGGGCACAATATTGCACTGTAGAAAATGAAAGTCGTTAGAATGAAAGAAGGCAAGGAAGCCCGGTTAGCTAAGTCGGTAGACCATTAGCTTTTAACTTAACAATCTGGCGGTTCAAGCTTCAGATCAGCCGAGACTTTTTTTGCGTTGTTTGGCACATTTTGGTAATTGCTGAATTTGGTTGAAGGCTTGTCTTTATGAAGCATGTACCAAAAAGCGTTCAACCCGAATGCAAAATAACATATTTAAATTAAGCTATGATCACATTTACAATGACAACATACGTAGCACGAGAAATCAAAAAGTTCCAAAACGGTAATTTTCGTGGCCACTGCTGTAATTTTTAATTAATTGTCGTTTCATCTCGTACTATGCCCTCAAACGAAAAATCACAATACTTGCGCCACCTGGCGGTATATTATGGTAACCATAGCAGAAACTACCTACAGAATACCATTTAGTATCGCTGGCACGCTAACTGACCCGATTATGATCATCAATTAATAATTTTAATGTGTTAAATTTCATTTAGTAACTAAGTGTATTATCGATTAAACGATTTCGAAAATTAAAGAATTTTCTATCTTCTAATCATTAAATTAACAAGTCCATAATTCTGATACTCGAAAGACGAAGTACCTCAAAAGATACACCGAATCAAACATCTTACAAAAATATAAGACAAAATTTATTTCGAAACAAACTTTGATTTTTTCCTTAAAAGAAAAAAAACCACTCAAATCATGAACATTATTGCACAGTTAAATTAAACCCGCATCTTTTGCCATGGAATAAAATTCCGAGTTTTCATTATCCAGAAGATTTTTCGGTGAATCCCATTCCAAAATTCTTCCATTTGATAGCACCAAAATTCTGAAAAATACAATTAAAATGATTTATTGTTTTCTATCTGAAATAAGCAATTTTACGTATGTTAATAACTGACCTATCATAGTCCATGATGGTGTTGAGCCTGTGAGCTATGGTGACGACGGTGCAATCCTCGAATTCCGTGCGAATGGTGGACTGGATTAATTCGTCTGTCTCCATGTCGATAGCCGCTGTCGCTTCGTCCAAAATAAGAATTTTGGACTTTCTCAATAGCGCCCTGGCCAAACACACCAACTGCCTTTGACCCACGCTGTCAAATGTTGCCAAAATTTAGTTTATTTCTAAATATTAGAGAGACAATTATAATAATCCGTACCTAATGTTTTCTCCACCTTCTGTGATGACGTGTTGAAGTCCCTCTTCCAAAGAGGACACGAAGTGTTTCAAGTGTGAATGTTCCAAAACTTTCCAGATGTCGTCGTCAGAATATTTATTGAAAGGATCCAAATTTGTTCTTAGTGTTCCAGTGAATAACACTGGATCCTAACATAAATTGAAAATATAATTAAGCAAATACCAAAACTTTAAGAGCGATAAATTAGCAAATTTTTGAAAATACAGTAAATCAGTAATCATTAACAACTACGGTTTTGGATGACTGTTAAAGCATTTGTGATTAGTGTATCGCAAGAGTTCTAATCTTTTAGAGCTACTGGCATATTTAGTTTTAGGGGTACAGCTATTTAATAGGGATACTCTCATCAAAGATGCTCTTGCATGTATAAACGAAAAAAAAAGTTAAGATTCTGCTCTTGCATTAAAAATATGCAAATAATGTTAAAAAGTAAACAAAGAATAATAATTTTTAAACGATATTTATTGGAAATTCTGTGACATCCCTAAGAGATTCGTGGCAGACCAATCAGAACCACTGTTGTAATGAAAAAATTAATCTGTTTTTATATCGACTGCTCTTTTTCTCTTTCGCAAAAAAGCAATTAATTTTGCTTTAGAGGAAGAAAGACATTTCACAATATTTTGGAAAATTAAAAATACATAAGAGTATTTTTCAAATTTCACCAATTGAAAGATATGCTATATTTTCTGTAAAAGATGATTCTAAATTATCGAGTTTTCCGTGTCCTTTATTCTTTCAACTGGCGACAAAATAAAACTGCTTACAGAATATGAAAGTGTTCAACAAATTTTGTTACACATATTGTAGATCTGTGGAATCAATACTGCAGAACTGTTAACAATTTCACTCTGTGCACCTTTACGTACGATTTCCAAGCTACGATCAATTTCCCTCCAAGTGTTATCCAGCATTTTTGATATAACTGTAATAACAATTTTAAGCTTCAATTCATGGGGGGAAAATTATTGAAAGAATTAAATCTCTCCAAAAAATTATCAAAACAAAAATCATTCTAAAACCATCAAGAACATTCCAAAGCTTTTTAAAACTTTTTAAACTCCCAATTTTTTTGCATCCCTCCTGCAGGCACACACCCACACCTATCTCAAAAACATTACTAATTGTCTTACTGTAATATCATTAACCAATTTTCATTTTACTACCTAGGCTAGAAGTGTTACAAATAAATGAAAATAAAAAATCCTCCATAGACAATGTTAAATCGCTATATTTTTAATTTATAAGCTTCTTGTCCAGGTTGTATTAAGTGAGCATAAAATTGCTATATCGGATTTATCATACAGGAAAAAGGCGAATGGACGTAAAATAGGCTTTATTCAGACAGAATATGCACTTCGAGTATTCGGATAGGAGCCTATTTTACGTCCATTCGCCTTTTTCCTGTATGATAAATCCGATATAGCAATTTTATGCTTACATAGAAGACAGTATATTTTTACTCGGTTTTCACCAAGTCATAAGTTTTAATATTTTATTACGTGATAAGTGATAGAAATAGTTTTATCATTTACCACGATTTAGTCAAAATCACTCTAGCATTGTTATAAAAATCTTTATAAAATGTCATCCTTTGCAAAGCAAAATTATGAAAAATCGCATAATATTTACAAAACGCCATCAGCAAATATCCGCGAGCACCTTCTTATAACAAAAGTATGGAAATTTTATTTTACCTGAGGAATAATTGTAAGTTTGGACCGAAGATCGTGCAACCCAATTTTAGAAATATCGACGTCATCGACATAGATTTTCCCAGCTGCCGCTTCAATAATTCGAAAGAGAGATAACGTTAGCGATGATTTTCCAGCGCCGGTTCTTCCTACAATACCAATCTGAAAGAAAAAATAAATACAACAGGTGTTTTTAAATGATCTGAGACAATTTGTAAAATAATAATAATAATAATAAAACAATCTGAACGATCCTGATAACATTTGATTGCATTGCGAGTGAATAAGAGTAGATTTAACTACTATTTCAATTAAAAGTATTTACTGTCAATCTAAATAATAGAAAACAAATATTTATACCTTGTCACCAGCAGAAAAGTCGCATGTTATATCATTCAGAATTAAATCTAATCCTTCTCTGTATCTCGTAGAATAATTTTCAAATTTGATATTTCCATTTTTCGGCCAGGAATCATCTGGTTTGGTTGATTTATTATAACGAGGAGCCTAAAGATTTGTAATAATCTAATTTTTATCTTAATTTATATAAAAATTTAGATTTAATTTATCTAAGTTATTATTATTTGTATACCTCTGTATTAATTCCGCTGTATTCCAGGCAACGTTCCACCGAAACTATATTTGTTTCTACATCGGCACTCGCTCGAACCAACATATTTAAATTAGCCGTTATCTATATTTAAAAAATTTTATTATTAACATTTATGTTTTAAAATAATTACAAAAAAAAGGATTTGTTTTTTACCGTTAAAGCGTAGCTGACAGATAATCCAACAATTCCGGGATTCAAATCATTCTTAGTAAGAACAGCAAATAATGCAGAAAAAAATACTATGGAGTATCCTAAAAATTCTAATCTTATTGCCAACCATCTGCATACGAAAGCAGTAATTTATATTTAAAATTTATGGCATTTTTTTCGTTAAAATTAATTTAAAAATTAAGAAATGATCTTACCGATTTGCTGCTAAACTCGGATAATAACAGGAATGATTGGTGTCTACGCGATTATTTGACTCATCGATAAATTTTTGTGCAGCTCTATAAGCTCGAATGGATGAAGTTCCTGTTATTGTTTCAGAAAAATGCGCATAAATCGGAGAACGTGTTACAGATTCGAGTCTCTTCATCTGTCGCGATGTGGGAATGTAAAATTTCTGAAATTACAATAACAAATGCTTTTACTCTCCAAATCCTAATTGTTCACACTTTAGACTTTATTTATAAAAGTTAAGTCGTTAAAATATAGAAGTTGCCATCCCATACCTGAAGCAAATAATATATTATGCCGATAGGTATTACTACCACCAGAAATAAAGCAGTTTCCATGCAAATAATGATAAAAGAAACTAAGGATCGAAATGCCTGAACAAGCATCATGCGAATATTAAATCGGATAGTTATATCAGTTGTATCTACATCTTTAGAAAATCTGTTTAAAACCCGACCCATGGGAGTGGTGTCGAAGAAGGACATGGGCGCATGCAATATACGAACCAGCATTTCATCGTGTAGAATTTTAGATGCACGCAGACATGCAAGATTCATAGATAATGCACCAATAAATATAAATACAGCTACAAAAGAAAATACAAAAGTTTATATCATTCTAATACTTAAATTATCATTAAAATATAACTTAAAAGTTCTATTTTGACTACAGTAGAACCTCGAGAACTCGGCTCTCGATAACCCGGCACTCCGGATAACTCGGCCACACCCTGGCAGGGCAAAAAAATCCTTAGTTAATTAATTTTCATTATAGACAGCTTTATAAAAGTATAAAACCTCTCATAAAGTATTTTTCTGAGGTGTGTCTTATCAGGTAAATTACTGTACACAGTGTATTCATTAATTTTCATTTTCATGTAGTAAAGGCTCTATGCCTTCATAAAGGACGTACTTTTCCTTTGTTTAAGGGTATTTGGGCAGTTTATTCTCTGTTATATTCTCAAGTAAACAATACATACAAGTACAGTACAGTATTTTCTGAGGAAACACTCGTACTTATTTTTTTTAACCCCATTCCCGATAACCCGGCATTTTCACAAACTCGGCCACCCTTCGGTCCACATTAGGCCGAGTTTTCGAGGTTCTACTGTATAACCATATTGTTATCAATCATTAACAACTTAAATAGCACAAGTAATAAGACTGATTCAATAATTCAGGCGTCAATAATGAGAGAGGACAAATATATAGTATGGTATTTGAACTTGAACTGTGCTCTCATGATGTGGCAGGTTTACTCACTTGTAAGTGGCAATGAATGAATGTTTTTGTATAGAAATACTATTGTGATAAATGTCTGATTCAAAAACCTAACAGAGTTAACATCAATTTTCTCATCAAATTGAAGAAATTCATGAAGAAAGCTTTACAATTATTGACAGAAATTTACAGTGAAGATTGTATATCTCAAACATATTTTTTTGATTGGCATGAAAACTTTAAGGCACAATATGCAAAGTATAAAAAATGTGATTGCCCAGGTAGTTGCTTTCTTCTACATCCAAGATGCTTTGATAGCTAACTGGGTTCTCATTGGCCAGACTGTCAATCAACACTACTATATTAAAATCTTGACTAAATTCTTCAAGTGAGTGAGAAGGAAATGGCCAATATGGTAAAGAAACGAGTGAATCTTGTATCAGGATAACAAGCCATTCCATAAAGCATTTTCTGTAAAGCAGTTTTTGATTAATAAAAACAAATCTCTGTACTTTATTGCTTTCATATTCATTGGATCTTGCTTACTGAAACTTTTTCTTCTTCCCAAAGAGCAAGTCTGTGCCCAAAGAAACCTATTTTGTATGAAGAGGTAAAATCAAAAACAATGGATCTCCTGGATAGTTATACAGAAAATGGTTTGGTTTAGTTTGATGAGATACTGCAATGCAATACATAGGTAATCTGCCAAGGAGATGCCTTTCAGGAGGACTTTCTATGGAAAACTGATCCCTATTTAGGTACTCGATGCAGCCAGCCTGTTGGTGAGGCAAAACCTATGACCAACAGAAAATTGCAAGAAAACAGAAATGGGCTTTACAGAAAATTATCTGAAGGCATTGTATGTAGTTGTGTAAAAAAAAAACTATTTTGATGACAATTTTGTGTTGATCTCATGTGTTTGTGGTCTGTGTGCATTTGTGTGTATTACATGATATTTTTTCTCATGTGATACTTTGGAAAACACAAACTTCAAATAAATATGAGTTATTTCTAATTATTTTTTACTCATTTGCTTCTTTACATTTGATATTATGAATTATAATTTCAGATCACTAATATTAATTAAAATATAAAGGATTTTGTGTTAAAACTATATTAATTTAAAATTAATTTTAGAATGCTTTTGATAAGTGAAAACTAATAAAATGTTTTATAAAATATACAGTTACAAGCAGTTTATTTCTTTATTTTAAAGAACTTTTTTAACAAATTGAAAAATTATTTTTATGAAAAATTATAATTAATTTAATAAAATAAAATATTTCTTAAAAAATTAAGAATAAATTTGAATTTTCTTAATTATAAAACTTTAAATGTATAATCATATTTTTGTTGTTATTAAAATTTATGTAACTTAAATTAAATATGTGTAATTTTAAAATACAATATTATTACAATGATTTTTGTTTAATCTCTGAAACCTGCAATTTTCATTGAATTATTAAAAAACTTACTTTCTGATGCTCCAAGACCCCCATACACACCAAGTCGTAAATCTCTGAGATTTGTATCATATCTTTTTTCAGGATCTGAAGCATCATTGCTCCACAAACTTAACCATACATTTGTAGCAATATTAAAAGAACTTGAAATAGCATATGATATTACTGTTATAAAAATACCACAATATCCAAGTGTTCTAAAATACTGAAAATATACACTCCATTTCACCTGTTAATAATTTTAAATGGAAATGTTAAAATTTTGACAAATAACTAATATAATATGTAGGAAGGTTTTAAAAAAAGACTCACAGATCCAACTTCAATAGTTTCAGCATCAGTTAATTTTGATTTTTTTTCTTTTCTAATATTTATTTTGTCTTTTTCAGATTTCGAAAAGTCATGTTTTATATCAGACACACTAAACTGTTTGGAAAGCCTCCTTCTTATGTCACCAGATTCTGATAATTCACTTTCTGCACCACTCACTCTAGACAATTGTCTGTAATTATAAGAATATATAAAATTAATGAAGAATATATTTTTATCATAAAAAACTAATTGCTAAATTGAACTATCTTTGATAACTTAGAAATTTAGTACCTAATAATGTATTCTGTAATAAACAACAGAAACTAAATGCTAACGTTTTAAGAAATTGAAAGATTTATTTACAATTAAACTTTTGAGAAATTTGAATAAATTTGAATAATTTGAATAAAAAACAGTCTTTAAATCAATTCTAATTAGATACCAGAACATGTATTCAACTATTCATTGTGAGTTGCATCACAGAACATGATTTTCCAGGGTCTATAAAATTTATATTATTCAAATTAAAATGTGATTAATCTATATAAACAATCAAGACTGAATTATTGTAATGATCAAATGATAAAGCCAAATTAACTGTTGAGCTAGAACTTAGCTAGCTAAATTTATAGATATACCAGACCTTACTCTAAAGGTTTTTTCCTACTGCACAAGTTTTGTTTTGGCCAAGCTGATAAATCCTAGCATTTATAAACTGTTCTAAAAGACATAAATTGAAAATAAGGACAACAACACAAATCTGTATAATTATTTATTAATTTCAATCACCATTCAATCTTAATTGTTAGACATTGCACGGTGTGCACTGTGCACTTGAATGTGATATAATTTACTATATGATAAGTGCTCCATGGTTCGAGAATGTAGATTATAGTTTAAACCAGTGTTTTTCAACCTTCTTGAATATGTGACCCTTTTACAAGTTAAAAAATTTTGGCGACCCCCCACCATCATATTAATTAAAACTATGTCAGTGATTTTAAAAACTACGTATTTAATTTTTTTTGTTGAAATTTAAATATCGATTGAAAAACTAATTGTACTGTAAATAAACAGGCACAGCCTTCTCACTGAAATTGTAGTGTAAAACCTACAAACACTTGACTTTTTCTTTTACCCGCGACCCCCCGTGTATGGCTTTGTGACCCACCTGGGGGTTGCAACCCACGGGTTGGAAAACACTGGTTTAAACGATGATATTTAATATTGCAACTGCATGAAAAATATCAATTGTTTAAATTTGATACAAATGGTAAATCTTACCAACATTCCTTCCATAACTCTTTTTTTCTTGAGGCAAATAAAATATACAATAAAACCTGTGTAAACCCTTTTTTTCACGTTCTTTGTTTTTCAAGTGTAATTTAAGTAAATATTTTAATTTTAACATAACCAGAAGAAATAAAACCTTATAAAATCCAGAATCTGACATTTAATTACTTCACAAATATAGGATTTCCACTGAACAATTCAAAATTTCCATTACCCATTTTGTGTTGAGTTGCATGTTAATATTCTGTAGATAATATATAATTTGGACTAAAAATAAATAATAAAACCACCATCTTGTGTTAAATTTAATAATTATATTAAGTTTTTTGAATTGAATTTAATAATTTAAACTATTTTGGAAGAAAAGATTAATCAGAATAACTTAGAACTGACAAGTTTTGTTTATTGTGCAGATATGTTGCCAATTACACTACCTGAACATCAACTCATGGATGGGAAATAAAAAAGCAAAAGATGGAATAAAACAGAGATTATACTTCTGGAGTTTAAACATAAGTTCTATATGCTTATATAGAAAATAATAGCTATGTAATCTCATATTATAAACCATATTATAAATAAGAAGGAAAGCAATAACTTGGAACCTTTGCTATGGGCATTAAAATCTACAACACAATTCTGAAAAACATCACCCTTTTGAAGTATTTGTTATCAGCACTTTCATGTATTAAACATATATATTTGTTATTTCTAGATAGATTCAGATCATTTAAAATTGAATCATATAAATTCTATATCATTCCATGATGCAATGCACAACAAATAATTAAAAAATATGTCCTGATACATAATTTAAATTGATTTAAGGACCGTTTTTACTCTAATTATACTAACAAAATAAAATGTCTCAAAAAAATGTTTATTCGCAAATAAATTTCTAAAGTCCTTAAAATTTTAGTGTTTAATTGATCTCATTGATTAAAGATAGAGTTATTTAATAAATGTAATGGTCAGGATAATAAATATTAAAAATATTTACAAATCAGAAGAACCTAAAAAATTGTCTTCATATTTTGTCCTTGATATGAAGACTATTTTTTAGTTTCTTCTAATTTTTGAATATTTTTATTTATTATTCTCCTGGTCATTAAATTTATTAATTAATATATTTTTATTAAAACTGTGCCTTCACCAAGGAATTTTTTCAATGATTTTGCATATAGAGATAGATGAGTAGCCTCAAATAAAAGGTAGACTCCACCAGTAAAGACTCTTGTGTTCCTGGGATGTTGACAAGGACAAGATATGAAGACAATTTTTTTAGTCTTCTGTAATTTGTGAATATTTTTAATGGAGTTATTCATTACTAAGAAAATAATGTATTCAGTAATATTAACTAATATTTTTATTTTTTTGAATTAAGCAATTTTTGTACTGATTACTAATTTTATAGAAAATGTATTATAGTTTTAACATAATTCTTTGTATAAATTATTTTCATGCAGAAGTTAGAAGTTTCCCATAGATCAGATTTTGTATTGAATAAGAGTCTATTCTGATTTCATATATCAGAATGAGTCAATATATGTCAGAAATCTGCACAAACTGAAAATCATTTAAAATTCATTGTGCATTTTCAACAATAAATATCAGCACCCATTAGTAACAAATCACGGCAAATGCTATATCTCTGCATGTCGCAATTACTCAACCACAGCCAGTTTAACATGGATGGTGTATTACAAAAGTGTACATAAGAAGAATAGTGCCTAATTGTTCATTTTCTATGAGTCAAAGGATTGATCACAGAGGAAGTGCATAAAGAAACAGTTACAATGTATGGTGAAATGTACAGTACATGTCTACCAAAGTCATGTAATGACAAGTCATTTATTGTCAAGAATTGCGGTGTATCCCACCATGTATATGTATGTTTTAGTCTATAATATCCTATGTTATCTATAATTTCCTCTTTCTACTTAAATAACCTGCACTGTTTTTCCTCTTTTGACTCTTCTGACCCATTTGCACTTTCTGGCTAGATTTGCGCTGAAAAGGGGGCAACAACTGACAAGGCAGTGTAGGAGGACTTTACTTTCATTATTCATTCTGGAAGAAGCAAGCGAGGGGACATGGAGAAGCACGTGAGGAAGATGAGGGAACGAATCCATGCGGTCAGGGAGTGTACGTCGGAAGATTGCCCAATTTGTCGCACAGATAAGGGGGACTTCTCTCTAACCTAGATTATATTAGTTTATATTTTAGATTTAGTTAGTTATAAGTATTATTATAATACGGTCACAACTGGTTGTGTACTGGTCGGCTTTGGGACTCGCACGTGCAATCGGGTAGACGAGCTTTGTTAAAGAGAGGAAAAGAGGAATAATTTTGTATCATGGACGGTTTCGAGATTATGTATTAAAATTAAATTGGAGATTAACTGTAAATAAATGATTTCCTCGATATTTAGTTGAAATTTGTGTTAATATGTGGTGTATTCTTGTATAATACAGTTTTTCATTAACCCGTCACACCACAGAATACACAAATATATGTTTTTTTAATTTAAAATATTTAAAATCATGATACTTTATTCCCTTGTTATTTATAAGCCCATGTTATTATTTTATAACCCCTTGTTCACAAAATTTGATTCTTTACTGAGCATTATGTGACCGTTATCACCTCTTCATCTTGCTAAAATCATTGTCTTATTAAAATGCATTCAACTGTAGAGAAAGGAAGAAGGAAGAAGCAAGAAGATACAACAATGTTTTGATGAACCCAAATCATGCTACCTCCACAGACTGTATGCAAAGCTGGAAGTTATTCTCTGAGCATATATCTCATATATTGGCCAAGTATTATACTTTAAAAGGTATGAAGTTGAATCCTGAGTTATATTGTATAATTACATCATATATATGGAATATATGGAAAATAATCTTTTATTAAATGCAAAATCTGTCCTAACAGAATTTCTGAATGGAAATATCTATCAGAAACATTTAAAATAAACTTAAATAATTGTAATAAATAAATACAGATCTCAATGAAGTTGTTCATAGAAGTCACTGAAGATAAGTTGCTAAGAAAATATATGGACTAAGTGGTGATATCCACGTATTAAATGATAAATTTTATTCAAAATATCATTTAACAATTTTATTATTAGATCATAATTTTACCTTTGCAATTCTGGTGGTGCCCCTATTGTTGGTGCTAATGCTTCAAAAAGTTGAATTTCATCATCTGGTAATGAATCTACTTCTTCTACAGACTCAGATAGAAACTGAAGAAGAAACTGGGAAAAAGCACCTCGTCTGTTAAGAAGTTCCTTGTAAGTGCCATATTCAGATATAACTCCATCATTCATTACAATGATAGTATCAACTTCCGGCAAAACTGAAATTCTATGAGTTACTAATATTCTTGTCTGTAATATGAACAAATTTTTGTTTTAATTTTTGCATTAAAATTTCCTTTTGGTTAAAATTACTCAATGTTTTATGCATAAAACTACAAAAAAAGTTAAGAAATTATATTTTATAGTATGAGACTAAATGAAACAAAATGATTATAAAATTATTTCTAAAAAATAACTAAACAAATTAATAATTAGAAATATATATTGAGAGTCACAGCTATCAGATAGCTAAGCCCCCCTCAGCTTAGTGCAGCAGTACCCATATGCAGTATATATATAACGTATACTCTCACTTTCATCACATAAACTTAGTCTACTGTTACTTTTTTTACACTTAGACTTCAGCTAACAGGGCTAATGCTGGCTAGAAAAGAGAAAAAAATGGTGAAAATTTTTTCAGCTTGCCCTTCAAGCCTCCAAATGATTTATTCCTGGCTACAAGACTATATGTATTCCTTCTGCTGAGAAACTGATAATTAATTTTTCAAATATTTTAGAAATAATTTTTTTATTTTGGCCTACTTTTTAAAATGAAACAGTGAATTTTAATTATCTGTATTTGATGCCTTCTATAATATCATGTGAACTTCTAAGTAATAAAGTATCATTAGTTACATAAGCTGTTAATTGACATTTTATAAATAAAAAGTAAAATAAATTTTTTATAATTTAAAAAAATGGTAAGTAGCATAAAGAAACTAAGAATATTAAACTTATTTTTAATAATATTGAAATAGAACAACTATAATAAATTTATAGCTTATTATTAATCTATTTTAAGCATCATATCTCACTTTTTATGAATCACATGAATATGATTAAGTGACAGATACTCAAATCCAACCATAAATAACATCTACATATAATTAAATCTTAAATAAGGTAAAAATTAATATTTTTACTTTAAGTTTTCTCCATAAAGTCATACATAAAGACAACATATCCCAAGGATTAGCTTCATTTGAAGCTATAGACTTACATAAAATTATATAATTTTTCAAACCTTTCTTTTCCTTTTACACAGATCAATCCTTGAGATATGTCGTCTTTATGTATATAACTTTATGCAAAGTATTTTGTGATTACCCGAAAGCACCACCAGGGCTAGAAGCAGTTAAAAATGCTACAAGATACGGTAGATATTGTGAAAAATTTTTTATCCTTGTTTTATTGTGAAAGCACTGTAACTGCTAAGAAAAGGTCAGCATTTTGATAATATTTTAACGCAGTAATTTTTTAATAATATATTTATGATGTCTTAAGAAGATTTTTTATTTCTTCAAGCTAATTGACTGTTACCTCTGAATTGGTCTGTGAAAAAGGAAAAGAAAGACTTGAAAAATTATATAATTTTATGTCTCTATAGTTTCAAATTAAAGATATCTCTTTTTTACTCTTTCCTTACCAAATGTGTTATTGGTTATTCAAAAGTGTCCCACCTCTATTGTTTTGGATAACCAACACTACTGTATTTTGTTTCATTGCCTCTGTTGATATTAGATGCAGACCATTTTAAACAGGTATATTTTAATTACAATGGAATTATACTATTAAAATATAGTAAAACAATCTTTATTTAAAGTATTGAAATATATAAAAATACCTTTTCCTTCAAAACTCCATTTGGACCAAAAACTTCTTGGAAAATATGTTTACCAACATGAGAATCAACAGCACTTAGTGGATCATCAAGTAAATATATGTCAGCATCATTATAAACAGCTCTAGCTAGACTTACTCTCTGCTTCTGTCCACCACTTAAATTTATACCCTAAATTTAATTCAAATTTAGAATATATGTAATATTATATAATTATATATAGTTCATTGTTTCAAGTAATTTGTGGATTATAAAAAATATTTTCAATACACTTATAGACTATTATTTTTCTTCCAGAAATTCTAAATTAAAAATTAATTTATTATAAATATTAAAATTAACACAAGATAACAGCCTAACTGCCTACCTCTAGACAAATTACTTTCTATCTAATTATTATCTTAGCCTTATTATAACCTGATAATTCAGCAGATTGTCTTGTTTTA